GCGTACTACTTGCGGGGCTTGGCTATATGGGAAGCCCCGCAAGAACCGCACTAACCTTTCAGATGCTGGGACAGGTGTACAGCCGAGGGGAGGCGAAGAGACAAAAAAGGGATTAGAGTTACGGCCGCCGCGGCGATTCATCCGAATCATGGTACCAGCAGCGGCCAAGTCGGAGATCAGAGTGGAACCTCGGATTTGAACAAAGTTGACGAGTCCAACGATGAGATGAGGAGTGACAGTTGTTTGTGACGGGTCAAAATAATTTGAGACGTTCTGTTCACAGACAAAAGGACGGCATTTGCAGCAGAAGGTATCGGAAAGCTTCGAGAAGGTGTTGTGGCTGAAGCTCTGTCTCACGGGCTCAGCATGAACATGTACCATGAAATCATAGTCGTCACATCATCGGACGAAGGAGATGGGTCCTTCGCATCATGGTCTGCGGGTGTGACATGTGGTTCGCGGAGATTTGTGCTGAAGCGACAAGTGAAAACCACTGCCGTTGCGGGGTTCACTGCATCGGCTCTACGAACCATCTGGTCTTTCTCTGTCCCTCCCCCTCTCTCCGTCTCTCTCACTGAAAGAAACCGACAGAACACCCCCCGGCCGTCTGCGGTCGCAGTATACGTACGCAAGGGCTTGGCAAGGGTTTGCGGTGATAGCACGGGGCAGTGACGATGATGTCGGGTCGGACGCAGACGGAGGGTAGTATCTGGGTTCAGCCACTCTTTGGGCAGGAAAGACGACACTCATCAGCGGTGGTGGCGGCGGGCGTTGGCGCTTAACAAAAAGGGGGGCGTTGCATTGGTGCGGTAGGTATCGTTGGTCGCAAACAAGCAGCGAATATGACAGAATATGTGGCTGGTGAGACCGACATCCACCTCTAGACTTGATACAACACATAATCTGCTAAGCGACGATCGTTCGGACTGGCATAGCAAAGGGGAAAGCAGCGTAGCCAGCCGTTTCCTTTTTCTGCGCGACTCAAATGTAGGTTGCCGTACTACCAGCGGAGGGTTGCATCTGTAGTTGCAATTGCAGTTGCAGTTGCAGCAGTACGAATGCAATAAACCGTCGATCATTACAACGAGGCCAATGACAGACTGCAAGATAAGCAAAGACATTCGAGGAACGCGGAGAAAAAGATTAGGAGGGCATCTGCTTCCTGGGTCTTGCTGGCTTATTGGTTTCTGCGTCGATCAGCCCGAGACAAGACGACTATGAACCTGGCACGATTGATGGTCATCTCTCTGTTTTCGGACACCGTGTACGAAATAGTTTGGGCTTGATTCAATCTTGGCGTCCAAGTCTCTTTGGCTGACTCTATGCAAGAACTTGCGTAGTCCGTATCACGGCCACGATGTGCCCCACATCGTGCTGGTATGGTTGCGATGTTAGGTACAATATGGTGGTCAACGTTGGCGGGTTTTTTCCCCGCCAGCCAGCTCACCTCAGGTCAACAATGTGAACAGTCAGCTACCGTGGCTGTATCCACGTGTACGAGCTAGGGCCTTGATCATGCCATCTGCCGACCGTTTGCGACGAGGCTTGCCACCGTCGGACAGTCACGTTTTGTGGACATGTTGCGGTGATGGATGGATGGAAGCTGGCCTTGTTTGTGGCGGACAATGAATGCAATGCCAGGGTCCAGAAATGACTGGAGTCGGGAAGTACTTCACGACGCCAGAGAGAGATGAGAATGTGGTCAAGTTTCTGCGGGCGCTGAGCACAGTCCTTGGCGCGGGCTACGGGATCTGCTAGAACACAGATGGATGGCGAAGTGAGGTAAGCAGGGCTACCCGATGACAAGACCGCTTCACTGCGTATAGTCTTGGGTACAAGTATGTATGGCAAAGCGCTCGGCGAGGTTCAGGCGTCGACGTTGAGGTATGTTGTGCATGTCGATTGCCCAGGCCATGCATGCAAAGGGCTGCGTGGTGTTTCGCTGCAGTCGTGGACGGGATGCGGCGCAGCCCAACGGCGATTCCGTACCTAGGCACGACGACCTTGGGTGGGTTCCACGTTTACAAGCGTCACCCGGCCCGTCACCTTGGGGCTTCTGGTTCAGACTGCGTGTCGGAAGGGTTCTTGACGCGGTTCCGGGTTTGACTGAGTCTGCCCGAGTCTCGACGACGACGACGACGAAGACGAAGACGACGACAGCAGAAGGCCGGCTTGATTCTACCTACGCCAGCAAACGGAACGGTGTGCGGGACTGGGCTCCCTCAGACGATCAACAAACGCTGTTTAGAGGGGCCCTAAGCTACGGCGCACCATCGGATTCACAGACGCAGAAATGCAAAAGTGAAAATTGGAGTGGCCGAGTCCAGGCCATGACCATCAGAGCCTTTGCGCCAAGGATGGCCAGCCGGACAACGACCGACGGAAGGGATGTAGTGTCTATCCATCCATGTATGTGTCGTATGTAAAAAATAAAAAATAAAAAGAAATACTTGCTGCTTTGCTTGACATCGCCGTGGTCCGAAGAAGGAACACGGAAAGAATCTTCCATGCATCCGCCCGTCAGGGCCCGTCAGCAACACAAGTCCCGTCTGTCGGGTTGAGAAAAAGGGTGGATGGGTGCCGCGGGTGGAAGGCTTCCATGCTTCTAGAACCCTGCCCCTCTCGGTCTAGCGCGGAACCCATGTCCTGCGGCCTCGCGCGCTCAGCTGCCTCCCGTCCTCTGGAGTGGCCAGGCACTCCCTGCTGGAACGGTGGGTGGCTGCGGGTGGAACACAACTTCACTGACGCAGCGCCAAACACACGCGCGCACACTCAGCCCACTCTCACGCCCATGACCACGACCACGACCACGGCCACGACGACCACCGCCTCCGACTGACCAAGGGAACGGCAACATGGACCAGGAGTTGTGGGCAAGATGAGCCATGCAGTGCAGTCACTCGTTGCCGCTCAGACGGGGAAACCCCTGAGTGATGCAACCAGACCAGGGCCCAGCGACGACGACCACGGTCACCACTTTGGAAATTTCCCGTAGCGCCCACGGCCTCGCCGGGAACCCGAATCTGGGACCGCGCCACGTTGCGCTCTCACCTCACCCTCGCAATATCCGCATCCGCCCGCGCGGTTCAGCATTCCGATTCAGTGCAGCAAACGAGCAAAATCTGTTCATGTCATGTTTGCCATGCTGGATGTGAGGGCTTCTCAGGGATGCCCGACCGATGATGATGATGATGCTGATGGTGGTGGTGGTGGTGGTGGTGGTGGTGATGGTGATGAGGGATGGGCCCGCGACAACTATCATTTGCCCAAGCAGAATATTCTGCCTCTGACAGCGACCCGTCTGACTCTTCATCTCAAGCCATCCCTTCAGAAAAAGGCCCTGCCTGCCGCAAACTTGGCCAGTCAAATCCGGTGTTCCCCGCGCATTGACTCTAAGGTAATGCTCCCGCCGCTTACCTGAGTTGATAGTCAGCATATCATTCTCATCCAACGCCGCCTTGTCGTCCAACAGTCGCAGTCCGCGCGACTCGCCGACCGTTGCCCGTCCGTAGCTTGTTGACCTCACTTTCGTCTCCCTTCCCATCCGCTTTTCCCCACTTTCAACCTGCATTTTTCTGAACAACTGTCAGTTGTTGCCGCCGCTAGAATGCGTCGTCGTTTCGTGAACCGAATCCCTCGGCTCTGTTGACACAGTCCACCTCAGTCGAGTGTTGGCTGCGGTCCTCGGCCCGCCCGCCTCCGACGATAACCTCATTCCGCGGGCGCGGGCCCACCCATCGCGCAGACTCCATCGGCGCCCTGCCCTGTCCTCCCAGTCTTTCCCACGCCGGGTTGGGACGGAGTAGTATATTCAACACGATCTGCAGCAACATCAAGCAGATCTCCCCCACGTGCATCCCCAGAGATCCGCCTTTCTTCCGTCCCTCTCCGTCCCTGATCCTGTCTCGAGAGAATAGCCGTCAATAACTGCGAACATCTGTCCAAGACGTGAAAAGCAGCATCTTACCGTCTTCCCTCTCCAGCGCGGAGTGGCCGCCGCGCAATACTCCACCAGTTGCCCTTGCCGTGCCTCCCAATGGCCCCTCTTTTGTTTGCTCTTGTTCTTCTTTTTTTTCTTTCTTTTTCTTCTCCTTTCTCGGTCAGTCCCTTCTTCTTCTCGTCCCGCGTCTCTCATCTCTGACTTAGATGTCGCCACCTCGGGAGCGCCAAACGCTTCAACAATGCACCTGCCTGAGTCGCTGAATCCTCGGAACCCGAGTCCACCTCCTCCCGCCTCTTGGCAGCTGCCTCGACTTGTGTCAAGACGGCCGACGGAACATCTGAACCCTGGGCAGATCGTGGGTCACGCTTGGCGAACACGACGGAATTATCTTACGGCTAGCACATGGTCAGTCCGAATGAGCCCACCCCGTTGAGGGACAGCGTTGCAGCCGTTGGTCGCGCAGAGATTTATTCGTCGTCGCTTGGCTTCCGCACCTGAAACCGCCTGCCCTGCTAACAAACATACCCAATCTCTGTTGCATTCATCGGCTCGAAGCCGTCTCAAAGTGGTCCAGTATTTGCCAGGCGACCTTTTGCGTCCCGTTCAATGCTCGAGCTTCCATGGATTGGGTATGGTTATCTGTGTCGCCGGCACTAGGCGGGTTCGATTGCTGGGGTTTGTTTGCCCATCATTCACGTGATCCGGGTTATAGCCAGGCAACTGTTCAAACATAACCTTCAGTCCGCTACAGGCGAGGGCGGAATGCGAAAGGCCATAAAATTCGAGTTGAAACATTGCAGGAGAAACCTGTATCGGTTTCTATGTGGTATCCCAAGAACTCCAAGCAGCTTTTTCAACGCCATTTGACCTGTCCCTTCGACCAACTCGTCAGAAGCAAAAAGACGGTACCCCCATGTCGCCCCTTATCATTTCTATCTTCTTTCTACCCGTCCGTTTGACGACACAACAGTTTGGTCCTCAACACATTCAAAATATTGACTACCCCTCCATCCAGTCCAGTCAAATAACCGCGACTCTAAACCCCGTTAATAAGAACTCAGAGGTCAGCTAGATCAAAGTCGCCCTTGAACCCTTTGTTCAACAGCATCGCTGCGATTCTCCGGCGCTGAAGTGGTAACTCATCCTTCGAGTATGCGTCGATGGCGTTGAGGCCCAACGCCAGACATATTCCATTGGTGATGGTGAACACGCCGCAGTCGTACCCGTTGTCTTGCTCGGGCGCCTCGTGCTTAACAACGCGCCACTCGTCTGCCTTGAAATCGTCTCCGAGAACCGCCTGCACCCATGCTAGACCTCTCTTGGTATGTGTCGATGTGCCTCGCGGGTTGAGTGAATCCATGTGTGAAACTGTTCGCTTTTGTGGCCGAACAACCAGTAATGTCCAATGATTACCGCTGCAGATGGGCATGAGGATCGTCTCAAGGTTGAGAAAAGTAGCCTTCGTAACCCCGTACCGTCGCAGCGCCCTTTCAGTATTCTGAACACCGTTGTCCACTAGTCTCTTGTAGAAGAATGAGTTCATGGCGAGGCATACCCTCTTCGTCGACTTGACATCCGTTGCGCCTGCCGCTTCATTGACGTATCGATCCAGCCAGAGCAGCGAGCCGTTGACGATTTCGTCGTTAAGCCATTCGGTTTCCGGAACCACCTTCAGGAAGTCGTGTCGTCTCAATTCCACATTTTCGGCCGTTTTAGCGAGCACCTGCTGGGGGTCTGCATGAATGCTGTCTTGTACTTTTGCCGCCCAATCTGTCGACAGCGACTTGACTAATCGCTTCTTGGGGACGCGAAGGCCTCCCGTTCGTCGCAGCCTTTCTTCTTCCGCCTCCTTGGCTTTTCTGCCTTCCTCAGCACGTCGTTGTGCTTCGCCCTCATCAAGCATCAACTGCAGAGCAGCGCTCAGGTCATCTAATTCTCCTTCCTTATCATCCGAAATTCTCAACCCAGCCAATGTCGGGGGGCTCGGCGATCTTGTAGGAACTCCTGGGGGCTCGTTGACATCAGAGAGAGCTCTCGACTTGTGGCCTCTGATGGACGAATTTAGATGTTGCACAAGCCTGGGCCTATATCTAGCCATGGTATCCTCGCTTTCGGTGTCTTCGGAAGTGTTGTCTGACTCCGCTTCAGTCTCTGGATCCTGTGTTGTGACCTCGGACCTTCGACTGTCGAGTGATCCGTCAGTCTGTGTCCCACTAAGGGAACTCTCGGCTTCATCCTTTCGAAGTTGAGAGCCCATGCTTAATTCGGGGCGAGAGCGAAAGAACTTGGAGAGGAAGCCAGTGGGTTTGCCTGGAGACGGCAAGGATTGCTTCGACGGGGAAGAGAAGTGCACTTTCTTCAATCTTCGCGATTTCTGTAAGCGCTTCAATGCTGGTGACGACTTGTCTCTCTTGGAAATTGGGCTTATGATTCCCTTGAGTACAGGATCCTCAGAAGTCCCTCCAATCGTTTTCGCGTGCGGAGGCTTTCCTTTCGTTTCCATCTCAGCAAGGTGCTCTCGAATGTAAGCGTAGGTATCCGTTTCCGTGACCGGCATAAATGCCTTTGACGGGTTTCCCTTCGATTGCCGTTCCTCAGGATCAACCGCAATGTTACTCGCATCCGAGACTGCCGGCTCCTTCTTGCGTGTATCTGGAAAGTTGCTGGGGAAACTGCCAGGCATGACATAATCCGTGGAGTCGACGCCGAAACTATCGCGCCCTCGAAAAAACTTCATCATCTTGCCAACAAAGCCGGCTTTGTGAACCAGCCCGGGCATTGGTTTCTGCGTTACGATGGCATCCAAGTCAGCGCTGACCCCTTTGATGACCCTTGGTGCAACCCCTGCCTCGATTAAAGACGAGGCACACTCATCAGGCAAGTCGTCGAGAAATAGCTTTGCTGCTGAGATGGCGAGGTCCTCATCCGGGTTTGTTGCGTAGTCCATTGTCGGTTGCGGAAGCCTCGATATCTCCTTCAACCTAACCATGAACGCATGGGAGTAAATATGCTCAAGAATCGCCGCAGTCTGCTGAAGAGTCCTCAGATGAGCGCTTAGAGCATGAAGTCGTCGGGAACGGGGTTCGTCATCCGGTCGAGAGCTAGGTGAGCTAGTCCTTTCTCTCGCGCGGCCTTTCTGGATACGGCGGTCGATATCTCTTAACGCTCGTACGAGCAGAGCAACTTGATGCCAATTCGCCGTTCTTGTCGATTCGTCAACCCAAACAAGGTTTGTCTTTGGAGATCTCGATGCGACCCCTCGCTGCTCCTCTCGTGAGCTTTCGGTGCTAGCTGAGTCCGGATGGGATTCCAGTTTTATCCGTTTGGTGGTGATGCTGCCACTGTGTTCGTCGCGAGAGTAAAGCTCGACTGCATTATAGTTGCGGGGATAAACTAAGTACGGGTCAGATTCCAGTACGAGCAATGGTCTTGATCGGCAGCGTACCGTAGCCAGCAATGCTGTTGGAAACTTTGGTGACTGCACCGCGAACTGATGTCATGGTATCAAGCAGCCAAGCCGTATGGCCCGTGGCTCTCTGCGCTTTGTTAACCACTGTCAACGGGCTGAAGGTGTAGGAGTGACCAACGCCCTGCTTGTTCGGTTCCAGGGGACTTTGTCGATTGGCTGAGTCCTCACCAAATTGGGCCTGGTCGGCAATGCCTGCGATCAAATCCCACTCGGAGTCTTGAGCCCGGCGCTTGCGCGACGTGCTCGTTGTTGTTGCCGCAGAGCTGAAATTACTTTTCCTTCTGGAGGGCGGTAAAATAATCAATCTATTCCGATCACTTCTCAGCTGTTCGTTGCCCTCAAAGGGCTTTGACTCGGCGCTTTTTGGTTCGTCTGGTGTGCGCTCGGTATCGCAGTCAGTCTTTCGGACCGTGAGATTCGCTAACGTTGCACCTCTGCGCAAGCTGGTTTGACCCGTTCGTTCTGTTCTGTGGCGGCCGCCAACGTCGCTTTTCAGCTGGCAAGGAATTACGCAGCCAGCGAGGGGGTCGCGGGAGTCAAGACCAGGGTAGTAGAGGAGAGCAGAACCGGGAACCGGGTATGGGTGCCAGAGGTATTCGAATGCGGAAGGTTGGATTTGCGCCCGGGAAACACAGCGCTCGAGGAAATCGGTTGGTTTTCGCAAGAAACCGTAAGGACGAGGGCGGCGACGACGATGCTGAGAGTTGTCTTGCTTCATGGCTGTTAGCTTGCAGGTAGCATGACAGAATGGCTGAGCAGGAGACATGGTGTCATGGGAAGGGCCAAAGATGCGAGGAACTGAAAAATTGAAAGGTATGAGGGGCGAAAGAAACGTCGGAGCTTTACAATAAATTGGCGCGACGTCTGGTAAGATCGGAGAGTAGGGGCGGCGGCGATTTGAGGCTTGTGTTGTATTGTTGTCCGCGTCGGAATTATTGGAGATGGCGGTGGTGGATCGCGAAATGGAGGGCAAGCGCACGGGATGAGGAACCGAAAGAAGATAGTGATCTCCTGAAAGTTCGTTGGAAGAGGGTGCGGTCGCGGTTGGGGAGGGAACAGCAGCACCGTTGCGAAATCCCCATCGGGGGGGGCAGGCTGAGGTGGTGATGAAGTTGGTGATTTGAGGAAAGAGGGCACTGGGTGCAACTTACATTTTTTGGTAGGTAGGTAGCTCAGAAAACCACAAGGCCTAGGTACCTGAGTAGGGAAAGGTAGGTAAGGTAGGCACTACCCCTATCGTACCTACCTAGATGACCACCTAGGTGCCTTCCTGCCTGTGGGAACGTACTTAGGTACCTACCTAGGCAGATAGGCACCTTACCTACAGCGAGGATGGATTAAGCCGGGGGTGCTCACTGAACGCTCCGACACAGCTTTCCGTCCTTCAACCTTCAACCGGTGCATGCAGAAGCGTGGGGTCGCCCCACGTGATACCTACCTTGCAGTGTACCTGCCTACCTACGTTGTTGCTTTTATTCGATCACCTCACACCCTGTGGATAAGGCAGGTACCAGTGACTTGATTACGACAACAAACAAGATAGAGACCAAAGCAACTGCAGTACGCGCGGCTAAGGAAAGGCACGAATTGGAAAAGAGTCGAATGGTTCAGTGGAGATACAAAATTCTAATTGACACTGATAGAGGCCACAAATTCATCCAAGTGTCCCGACTATACCTCACGGATTCTCGCCCCTCATCAAGGGCAGCTTGTCGCTGCTCCGAGTTATTTACAAGAATCAAGAATCATACCGATGCTCCCCACGCAAACGCCGCCGGCCTCTACATGAATCAAAGCTGGGCAAGAGTCTCTCCTAGCTTCTTCGTGCAGAAGGTGCTGAAGTACTCGTTTAGTGCGTCGACCGTGCCGCTGCCCTCCACCAACTTCGCAACCATGCCTACGTATCCGTCTGGGCGCACGACAACAACACCACCCTTTTCCTCGTCCAGCCCCATCTTGGCGTGGGCCGCTGCCTTGGCGTCCAAGTGATGGCGGTCCCATCTGTCGTCTGCGTAGACGTGTTCACGGTAACGTCCGATTACGTCCGGGACATCGCGTGAAATCTCGATACTGCTTCGGCTGGCTGCAAATATGGTACAAATGGTGAAGAAGTGACTGTGTGGGTTGTGCTTCTCGTGATGAGAGACGCTGTCAACGTCGTCTCTGAGGTATGCGGTATAAAACGACCGCTTGTTGTTCATGTGGCTGGCGAAGTCTTTCAGGGCAGCCTTCGTGACCGAAGGCTTGCCAGCAAATATGAAGATACGGAATGAACCGTTCAAAGGGACCTCTTGCTCCAGGTGCACAACATTGGCATCGACAACTCTTGTCACGTCGGCATTCATGAAGAGCCGTCCCGTGCGAAGCTTAGTACCTTCGCGGTGAATCAGAGGTGATTTCGCCGGGTGTGATTCGGACCAGTTCAGAGAGTTGGGCTTGTATGCTACACCATAGCCACTGGTAAATTCGCAAGACTCCTTGAAGGTCTGAATGAATTCGTTGTCTGAGCCGTCGGTAATAGCCTTGTCCGAAGCAGCCTCGACTTCGCTGGCAGCCGGCGGTCGTTTCGAGAACAGTGCTGCATACTTGTTGTCAAAGTTGAGCAGCGTCTCGGCGACGTCTCTGCGCTCGGTCTCGTAAGTCTTGAGAATATCCCGATGGGCGAAGCCAGCCTCTACGGCATGAATCTTCCAGGCCAGGTTCTGGGCGTCCAGAAAGGCTGTATTCATGCCCTGGCCAGCCTTAGGCTGCAGTAATTTGTCAGTAACTTCAGTCACGCAACCCAGACACTGTCCGACATACGCTGTGGGTGTGGCAAGCATCACCCCCTAGGAAAACTCGATGATCCAAGGTGTAACGGTCCGAGATGCCTTGGCCGATGGGGTAGACTGAATACCACTCAGTCCTCTCCCATTCGATGCTGTACGGCTGGAGGATTCGCTTCGCAGATTCCTGAACTTCTTCTTCTGTAGCTGTCTTTCTGGGATCGAAATCGGGATCCGTTGAGGACGCAATCTGGATATAGAGTCGCACCATGTTGTCTTCTCGAGGGATGACCATGATAGAACCATGCTTGCTGTGGATGGTGCATTTCATCTAACTTCGGTTAGCCAGCGTTCTATCGAACATGATGATGCCTAGAAGCGTGCCTTGATATCAGGAAAATCGGTCTTGACCACGCCGTCCATGACGCCCCATACGTGGGAGATGGGGTCCTTGTGCTTTATGCCAATCTGCAACTGGTTTCTGATGAATGAACGCGCGCCTTCGCCTCCAAACAGATACTTGGCGCGCACGGTTTCATGAGCAGTACCGTCGACGTGCTCCAAGTGGACTTCGACAGGATACTCTGGGTTCTCTGCCTCATTGGAGGTGAACCCCGTGATTGTCCATGGTCGCTGGATTTGGGTGCCGTTCTTGTTGAGGTCAGAGATGAAGACTCGCTCGATGTGGCCTTGATGCAACAGAGTTGTGAAGGGGTACCTGGCGTCGATGAAGCTCGGACAACTGGCCCAGGTGCCCGTTCTTGCGATTCCAGTGCCATTCTTTGGGGGATCCCAGAACGCAACTTCGTATACTCTGGCTGGCTTGTGGGCCATGATGGCTGATTTGAGACCCATGTTCCGGAGCAAATCCAAGGAACGAGGCTGAATGCCGTCCGCTCTTCCGGTCGGTGTCGGCTCAGCTCGATTGTCGATGTGCTTGATCTTGTAACCCCATCTGGCCAAGCAAGTCGACAGCATGAGTCCTACGGGCCCAGCCCCAACGATGACTTTCTCTGTCAGCAAATACGCTTAGAGAGATGGGAACAGTGTCGGCCTTACCGATATCGTAGAGCGTCGAGCCCGACTGGCGATCTGGTTGGGTTTCCATGGTGTGGAAGTAGTTGAGAGGCAGGATGGTGTTATTGCAGAGGTCTTATCAAGAGTTCACTGTGTCCTCAGATGCCTGTGGCACACACTTGGAGAAGCGATGTGAAAAAAGAGAAGAGGAACTTAGGGACGAACGCATGCACGCATGTATACACACATAGGAAGTCGTGGAGGCAAGATCGTAGGTTATATATGGCAGCCGGCCGATTGGCGCAGAACTTCCAAATCAATGGACGACTAGGGTAACTAAGGACCCGCGGGGAGATCTGGATCCAGTGAGACTCATCCGAAGGGGACCGAGATGCTAAAAGCTCGCCGGCATAGAGAATCGGTAAGCAGAACGGGGACGGCAAGACAGGCCGGGAACTCCAAATCCCCACATTGAGGCAACAGAAGTATCTCGTTGGGCAGGGCTCGCAATGTTAAAGGGCATGCCGTTCATTCGATCCGTGTAGGTATGGAGACTCTAGAGTCAGGAAAGGGCACGTCATGGGGGAAAGGGAGGGGCGCCTGGGTGGCGCATTTAGGGGATGACATTGAGTCTCGATGCTTTGGCTGAGTGCTTATCCCTGCCTGGGGCAGCGCAGCCCAGACAAAAGGGACTCGGGAAGTCGAGTCGGCAAGTCGGTGGTGGGGCCGTATGCTTTGGGAAGGTCCACGGGAGGTATTTTTGTCCGCCTCAGTTCTTTAACACTGAGAGGCCATGCCGTCCTCGAAGGCCGATGGGCGCAGCTTGATAATTAGGCCCCAGTAATCCATGTGTGTGGCCAAGTCATTTGGGGTTCCCGGAAGTTGGAGAAGCAGGCAAGTGCGGGGAAGGGGGCTGCACCCCAAAGTACCCGGAAACGCTGCGGCTGTGAAGGCGCCGAACCGAGCCTACCCTGCCTGGCCACGCTGGCACTGAGGATGGAAGGCAGATATGGTCGTAGCGAATCCGAATCTGTAATCCGTCCGCTGTCATTTGCACTGGCCGTAAGGGGGTCCACAGGCACGAGGTGGAACGGGAAAAAAAAAAAAAAAAACATTCCCGTACCATGTCCGGACGCGAGTGCCTTCCCTCTTTGCTTCCCGCTCAACGATGCCGACCGACTCTGTGTCTCCGGTGTCGCTTCCCTTACATCCGTAGGTGTGGGGGATATGGTCTGGGTGCCTGAACTTCAGTTCACTCTGCCTTACTCATCTCACGATGCCGCCATCCACGAACACTCACCAATGCGTTCCCCATTATCTTTCTACAAACCAACAGCCTTCCTAGTTCTTATTCAGGTCAACAGCCCTCCATTTGCGCACTTTTCTGGGCCCCTGATAACGTCTATGGTATCCTTACCCCGCCAGCGTCGCAAAACATTTTGCATTGGGCCGGTGCCAGGGCGCGCTAGCTTCTCATCCAGAGACGGGATCTACCTGGCACGATGCCCAGCCGAAAGACACGTACGTACGCCATCTCTTGAGCTACGGATGCAGCACCGTTGAGATGGCGCGCCGAAAATGTCAATTGAAACAAGACAACCGGCCGGTCATCGTGATCGGACCTTCGACTACTCGGGGGCGCCGGCTTTGAAGGCTAGGTCGGTTCGGTCACCGGGCTGGGCCTGGCCGGGTGAACCTCATCTCAGACCAAGAGGTTCTGTCAAGTGACTGAACCAACCGAAGAATTCCAGTGTCACCACCATCATAGTACTTGGAGCATCTTTTTTATCATAATCTTCTTAAAGAAGTCCTTCTTAATGTAATGTAGACTAGATTCGCCAAGTCAGAAAGACCCGTCTGGAAAGGCTCTCTTTCCCACACACGTGGACCTTCCTGGTTCAGTGGACTGCCTACCTTACCTAAGGTACCTATTTAAGGAGTACACCTAAGGTAGGTAAGGCAGGTATCTGACCAAGGCAGCGGAGTTCAGCTCTGCCAGGAAGGTAGACCGGCCAGGCAGGTAGGTATCGACGACTGGCCTCACCTTACCTAAGTACGGTGAGGCGCTCTTGCCCAAGGAGGTTACCATAAAGTGCCACGGCCCTTCCTGGTTCACGTACATATTCTGAGGCAGGTACTCCAGGCCATGTCGTGGACATCGGAGTCGCTCTACGCTGTTACCCAAAGTCACTCCTTACACCACATTTGCGGCCTTCTCCGAAACAAAGCACCCGCAGTTGTCTGCGCTGCTAAGGCTGGCATTGAGTCTTGAGGTTCTTTACCCGGGCAGTTTACCTAGGCCTCTTGCCTCGTCCTAGGCATTCTTCTTATTGCAGATTCTCCGAGCTTTCTAGGCCACTCGGAGATCTCGCCGGCCTCGGAAGATGCGAAATCGCCTCAGTCTCCAGACATGGGTCGATTCGACTCCGACAATGCCGCAGTCTGAGCCCGACGAGGATGACTGGCGGCACAGGTTGGAGGCCATGACAAGTGCCTTTACCCAAGATACCCTGTCTCGAAACGGATACGACGAGGAAAGTAAGCATTGGGCCACTGGTCTCTCTAGGTCCTCGCTCTTGTACGTTGCCGTATACTCATATCGTCCCAGAATGCCGCAATGTCCTTGTCAGATACTGCGCGCATATCCCTCGCAACTATCAGTATCGCGACGGTATTCAGCTTGTAATTCACCAGAATCCGAAGTCAACGCCGTTACAAATTATTAACAGACTCATGATCTGCAGGTTTTCCTAGTTCTGCGCGAGCACCTCGGAGACGAAAATCTGGATCTTGCAGGGGGGGTGTTGTACGAATTGATAGAAATCGATTGCCAGCATTCCGATGATCCAGGAGCCGAATTCCAGCGTTGGAAATACGACCATTTTAACCGACATGCGAGTGAACAGCTCAGGGTCAAGTGGTTCTCATGCTGACAATTCTCATGCAGTCCAATCTCGAGTTACCTCACATACCACACATGTCCACAATCACTACGTCCATACGTCCGACGCTTACTCTTGTAAAATGGCGCCAGAAACATTCAAGCCGCTATCCCATCAGACTTTCAGACCACTATTTCTCGGCTCGCGCCAGCTCAATTGAACCAAGCTGCATACGCAGTCGCAAGGCCTGGATGATTGATCATACCATGTACGTTTCAACTCGCGAGGGTGGTACATGTGCCTTTCGCAGTCCAAAGCCCAAAGAGCTGCACGAAATGCAATGGGATATGGGAACCGTCCAAGCTGGTCGTTTCATCAAAGAGGAGGAGGTCACACCAACCACCGCTTCATTTCCAATGTCAAATCACAGGAACAGCAATGACATAGTCGACGCCGATGCAAGTCAAGCCAAAGTCTCGAAGAACAGCAGAGCAGGCCTTCTATTGCAAACTTTCAGGAAGAACCACATTGCCCACACACCTAGTGGTACCGAAGCGCGGCTAGACAACAAACGCCGTAGCTGGCTTACCAACATATTTGGCCTTGATACCGTCCTATCAATTCGTGACTTTGTCGAGCCAAAGCAGGTGCCGCTTCCCGATGGCTGCATGACACCGCACGCCATCTTCGCCCGGAAGTTTTCCTTGGTAGCTGACGGGTTACCTTTGCCGTCGTCTCTATCCCGTGAGCTCATGCCAACGGCAGACATAAAGGCCAGGAAAGTGCTCGTGGAGGCTGCGGCAGAGGGTTTCATGGATCCATCTTAGGAGTTTAGGGGTCCGTTTACGCCTCAGCTTGGCTTTGATGGTGGGCTTGATTGTCGTTGGATCTTCATGGATTCCACACCTGCCAAAACCCGCACAAACGGCCGGTCGGTTTCCTGCAAAGCTCCGAGCCCCCATCATTATGTCGCTATCGAAACTCCTCTAACGGTCAGGACACCAAGGTCTCAACGAGGCCATGATTGGTTCGGGCTAGATACCCCCATACCTGGGCTCGTCTCACCAAATACAAGTCCTCCAGTTGTTAGCGCCATGGTTGATAGGCTTCCCAAAATTGCGCATAGCGATCCGGCCAGATGCGAAGGGAAGCACAGTTTTCCGTCAAGCAACAATTGGTTTGGACTAGATGGTGCCATGGACGATGGCATGGACGATGGGGATAGCTTGAAGACATCGAAGCCAGATCACGCGGGTCATCGGAGGATGGTGCGTAGGCAATGCGGGGCTGCCACTAATGTCGACGGATCCCAAGCGCCAACAAATTTTCGTTCGGCCTTCCATGCTATCTTGTCTCCTATACAAGGACCAAAGTGGCAGGACTCGGTCGGCTTCGCCAACGGCGAGGGAAAGCGTCGTGTTCCTGGTTGTCGATGGCTGGTGGCAGAGAATCCAAGGATACACCCTGTCGGCATCATCGAAGTCCAGACCCACAAACTACGGCATGCTCCATCGCTCGACCAACTTCGCTGCCCAACACGTTTGACAAAACCCGCCGACTCGAGCCTCTTTCAATCTCATAGTGCTCTCGATGATGTGAGATTCTCACGTCTCCCTACCGGAGTGATGCTTGGAAAAGCTCGAGAGCTGACGTTCACAAAGCAGCAGCCTGTCCTCCGTGACATTGGGCGATCGTCCCGGTCGAGCAGGATGGCTTCAAGCGACCAATCGGAGAAGATATCTCACTCTCGAACTTCTTCCCTTCGGAGCTTGTGGTCGCATCACACAGCTGCCAAGTCCGGTGAGTTGTGCTTCTTGTCGCTCCCGGCTGATCTGTACTTAGGTATGAGGAAGTGCTGATACCTGGGATATAGCACACCGCCAAACATCATTTTCCGAATTTTATACGTACGTGCCAAGCGATTGTTCACTATCAGGACGCGTTCCTGCCGGTTCTCAAAGAGCACACAGCACGCCAAGACCGCAAGCTCCTGTGAGCGACTGTCATACCCCTGCATCACATGGCATTCAGGTCTACTCTCCGTCCGATGACAGCCTAAAGGAGACTGAGGGTTCACCTCAAATTGGTGGTGCAAATTTACAGACAGACAGATTTCGCCGTAGGTCATAGAAGAGGTACATGCCTGCCTACTGTAGCTAAATATGCTTAGATGAGAAATCGCCTGAGATAGAAACTGGCTCAAGCTACAGTGACGAACAGTCATGCTGGGACGACGGTGCCGCCGGTCAGGAAGACGAGCCAATTTTGGAAGGTACGTAGAGACTGAAGGTTATTCTGAAAGCGACTTGCTCTTTCCTCAACTCCTGGACGGATTCGTGCTCATTCACCCAAGGCCTTGGTCTCCTGAAAGAAACGCTGGGGTCCGCAGAAAACACTGTGAGCAAGTATGTCGAACTAGAGACGGCATTTCCACAGCGAGGTACGTAAACAAAACGACATATTTACCAGCCCCGAAAAATCTGGTGTGAAAGAAAATCACGTCTGCAAAATCCCGTCCACCGTGCCCTTTTCGGCTCCAGAACCCGCTGCTAAAGCTATTTGGCCAGAACCATCATCTTTCCAAGAACGGATAGAAGCTTGGATTGCAGACCTTCGAAGCAGTCGATTCGAGGATCCCGAACTTGTAGGGCCATTTCCTGGGCCTTTCACCCCACAGGCGCTTTTCTCGCCTGCGCAGCTTGACAAACAGGGCGGTCCCCAATTTCGCGAAGACTCCTTTCGATCGCGGATCGAAAACCTCACCAACCAAAAAGAGCCTCGACCTCGGTCTAAGGCTTTTCTAACCAACACACTACACAAAAAAGACGCGAGTTCGACAACATCAACCACATCATCCACTAATATTCCCATCATGGCACACCATTCGGACAAACTGGAGAAGAAGGGCCGCACGATGGTTCCCTCTGCTATTCAGGGCACCTTCATTCCGGTATCACCGAGGAAGCGCGGATCTCCGTCGCCTATACGACGTAAACCAAACAAATCCGTCCAGATCAATCTGAATTTGACGGAGAACCAGGTCGAGAGATTGACAGACGTGTAAGTGTCGCAATGCGATATTATTCTCTCCACTGACACATCGCTAGATTTGCGAGCAAGAGCGAGTCGCCCTCTCGTCGCGCCAGGGCTGGTAACACTGCCAGAACCGGGTCACCCGAACGTAACAACTTCGCCAGCACCCATACCACGTCTCGAGCACATGCAGCACTTGACCAGGAGGAGCCACATGCGTATGCTAAGAGCGGCCAGGCGACCAATCAAATGGCACAGAAGGGTCATGACAGTGATTCCACGACTTTCTCGGAGCTGATGCCCCGATCACCTCACAAGACTCACAAGGCCAAGAGTTCTATGTCGTCAAACATTGCGGAGCGTCGTAGACAGAATACACTTACTCCAATTAACATTGAGGATCGCCGTCAGTACGCTACTCTACTCGGCCATGGTGACGATATGGTTGCTGCATCTTCCCTAACCCCAGACAACCCGTCTCCAGCAACTCCTGACGAGGAAGAATCTTCATCAATCTACTCGAGAGACGCTGAACAACCCAGTCCTCTGCGGATCCATAAGGATACCTCTCAACAAGTCGATAGCGTGTTGCAGTCATACAGCGGCTGGAAGAATTCGAACCCGCACACCACCGTCCCTACTGGTGCGCCTGATGTCGATAGTTGTGGAGTAGCTTCTCAGAGACAGACGCCCCCCAAGGGAAGACTTGAAGCCCTCAGACAGCCTGCAATGGATGCTGGCCAGCTATATTCTCCTCTGAGACCCTATTTTGCGTACAAAGACCTGCCTGTGCAGAAAATTGCCGGTAAGACCCTGATTGGAGAGCAAGGATGGCTCGAAAGACCAAACCAATCTTCAGATCACAAATCTCCGGACCGCAAGAAGAAGGATACCTCTCCCAAGAAGCCGGGTCTGCTCGACAGCCTCAAGAAGATTGCCAAAGAGATGGTGAGTGCGATGCCCTTTGCAAGTGTATGCATGTTGGCTAAGATGTGAATAGACTGAGAGCAAGCCCAGTCGCAAAGTCCGAGATGTAGAGAGAGAGGGGAAGGTCAAAAGAATCACAATTTCGTTGGATCCTCGCGAGCAGAGTCTTCTGTACTGCGAGCTCGAGTTTCATATCAGCAATGCCCTTCATACCTACATCACGAACGAGCTCAACCACGGCCGCCTGAATCCGGACAAGCTGAAGAAGATCGCAGATGGGTGGAACCAGAAGGGCCGTCCCAGAGTCGTCGGCTTTCGCTACGACCTCGAGACACAGCTTGATCTTGTTCATCTGCATATTGATGAATTCCGCTTCTTTGGGCGTCGCCAAGGCAATCTCTTGGAGATCGCAGGCCTTCTTCATGCGATGAAGGTCAACGCCCGAGCCCTCCGTGTTCGCACTTTCTGCCAGCCAGATTCCGTAATCGCGAAGCAGTTGGTTGACTCGCAGTCTCTATGCAATACAATCGGATGCTCCGAAGCCCAGCAAATTGCGATTGCGGAGATAGCCCAATTCTTCAAAGTCATCGTGGAGAGGGAGCAAGCTTATCGAGAGAAGCTAGCTCGTGACAATACACCCAAGACATTGCCCCACGGGCAAGGAGACAGAAAGTGGGAGCCTTCGAGAGATCTGGCCGAGGGGGTGGATCCACACGGTGGGCTTCATTTGATTCCTGATGGCTACGATGTCAATTCCGAGGCACTGCGGTACGACAACTAAATGTGCTTGGCGGAGCGCACTCTCAACCATAGGAGCCTCGTCATTATGGCAAGAACTGCACGAGTGCATTGAAGCGGGACGAGAAGAGAAAATCAGGCGATGATGGGCTGCGGGTTCCTCAGCAGATGGAAGGTGACATGGCTGAAGACGTGCCAGAATGGACGTTTCACCATATGGTTCCCCTCACAACATCGCGGCGGCAACACACTGCTACAAGCCGCTGAGGCTATGATAAATGAAGAAACGATGTATGTATAGTTCGGCGGAATCGAACGCACGACGGCGGGGCACACAGCTTTCTTGAAAGGTCACACCCGGTAAGAAGGAAGAAACACTGAAAGGGGGCTAGTGACGATATGCGATTTTCAGTAATTTGTAACAACATGAGAACCCAGCGAACTTCTCATTCCCAGAGCAGAAGAAAGTATCTTCATTATGCATTACGTCGTGAAAAGCAACGTCCCAAGAGATTGGCTAACGAAGACGAACCAAATCCTCTGCGGGTAAAGATCCCAAATTCTCAACCTCGCCGGACGCGGCCGTCATAACCGCGATAGTAGTCATCATCCCAGTCATCGTGGCGTTGGGCACGGGGACGTCCCCTACCATGATCCCGTTCGTGTTCTCTGCCCGTGTCGTAATGCGGAAGATCTCGGTCCCTTCCCCATCTCTTTTCCCAGGCTGATTGCTGTGCACGATCCCGTTCACGAGCAGATTCGAATCGCCTCTCAAGCGCGTTAGCTCCAAGCCCGCCGACAAGAGCACCGACAACCGTAGATATCACCCGCGCCTTCTCGGCGTCGTGTGGTGATCGCGGGTGATATGTTCCCTTCTCTATCTCTTTGCGGGTGCGATTGCGCAAAGCCGCATCCGAAACCTCCCGCGCAGCGAGACCACCAACGACGGCACCGAGAAGACCGACGCCGATCCCCGAGGAAGAGTTCGAGAACGTATGGTCGACAGCATGGCGCGCCTTGCCTAGCGGAGTTCGGGGACGGTGGCGAGAACGAGAGCGGGAGCGAGAGCGCGGACGACCTCTTGATACGGCGAAAGCTGCGGGGGGGACGGAACGTGGGCGGTATTGCGGTGGCTGCGGTAGTTGCAGAGCATTGGTATCGCGAGGTGAGAGTGGTGAGTCCAGTTCGTAGTATGAACGCGCGGCACCGTTGGCTACTTCGGGGGGGATGGCACCGGATACATAAGGACCGGTGTCAGGCGCTGGACCTTTGGAGTGAACCAAAGGATCCCCGCCCCCTCCGGAGTAGTATTCGGGCGAATGATCTCTGGATACCGGAGGTGGCTCGCCGCGACGATGGCTTGGGCTGCGGACAAAGTCCTCGCGGGCTTCTCCGTACTGCCTGGACATAAGTAGGCTGATATCGAGCAGAAGGGAGATGTCGGCGTGTCGTACGGAAGTGTTTGACTGCTTGGCGTCGGATTTTCTACAGGATCAGACGGTAAGTGATCTGCGTCAGACTGAATTGATCAACTTGAGTTTTTGGAAGAAGAAGAAGAAAGGGGTTGTCTGGATGAGCGGTGTAAGGGCAGCCGAGGCGTGATCTTTGTGAGAAAGGAGGTCCCTGCCTTCGTTACCAACCCAACCCGGGTTGAACTTACAAGGCCTGAGAGCGAGTCTCGGAGGGGAAACAATAAGTGAGGCTATCTTTGAGGCTCAGTTGGCTTTCTCTACACCAATGTCAGAGTTGAAAGAGTAAGCAGGCTAGGTAGCCCAAGCACTAGCGTCCACCATTCTCTCTCTCTCTTGCCCCCTCTCTGTTTTTCTTGTACACTAGCTCACAGCCAGCATCAGATCGGGCAAGTAAGACAGCAGGTGATCTGTAGATAGGTCAAAGAGTCTTAGTGGTTTTAGGAAGGGGGGTAGGCCACAAATGCAGGGTGAGGTCACCCCAAAAGGAATGGTATCTGGGCAGCCGTTAAAATACCCCAGCTAGAGCCTTAAGCGTCTTTGTCGCAGTATCGCACACTTTAGCCTATCTGCTTCCAGATATGAGATGTACAAGCAGGTAGAAAAGGAACTGGTGCACAGCGGCTGGATTGTAAGGACCGTAGGGCTGTGGCTTTTCCGGCAAAAGAAACGGGCGGGGTAGCAGTTCCCTGCTGTTCCCGGGAGATGCCAGTGTGTCGCTACGGCTCGGGGCTCCTCCAACCAAAGCTGTGAGGAATTATGATGTCACACGATGAGAATGGCTGAAGCAAGTGCGCAAGTGCAGGACACTCGGCGACCGTCGCAGCGAGCACGGAGTCGTCAGGCGGGATGAAGGTGGTCAAGGGATCGGAGTGGCCGTGCCTCGTGCCTCGTGCCGCATATCCATGTGAGCATCAGTATCAAAATCGGTGTCAATACCGGCATATTGTGACATGCTGTGTCGTGGCTGGAATACCGTCACGTTCTGAGTTGAGCCGCATCGACTCATCCGCCGTGCTCTCTTTTTTTTTTTTTTTTTATTGTTAGTTGCTTCTCACCCCAGTTTATTTGTTGAAAGGGCATGAAATTGACCAAAGATACGTGCAGAGGGCTGAAAGCTGAGGTTGGGCGGCGGGGCAAGTAGCAAGAGGAGGGCACACCGGAGAGAAACGGTCGGGAGGGCCGCGACTGCAGTGGAAATGCCGGACCCACCTACACACAAGGCCGCGTGGCCCTGTAACACGCTTTGCCATTGGCCAATGACTGCGCTATTGATGCCATGCAAGGGTGTACTAAATAGGTAATCACGCAAGTTGCGGCACGACATCAGTGGGCTTTCCGTGAGGCTGCGGTACGGTCACACCAGAGACTGCCTAAATTGTTTTTTGGTAGGCGTACTCATATTTTACTGAAGTTTGCATCGTCGTCGCTGTAGTTGAACATCGTCGTCGACGTCGTTGTTATGGTCGCCTTTACCTACCGTTGTCTCTAACCATCTTGGTCATGGTATTGCGTTAGTTATTGAAAGTATAAAGAAAACATAGCCGCGTAGACGCCAAGAAAACTGTGCAGACTCGTACACCAATTTCTTTTGCTGTATTACGGACCTCATCGAATGAACATCTGCGGACGGCTTACATCAGTCCGACCGGAACTCAGCGTTCGGGTCATCACCGGCTCCGACGCGCCCACCCGGCCCCACAGTGGGACAATAACACCAAATCCGGTCTTGACTTACTCTCATTCTCACCGCCGCCCCTTGTCAACTCATCCAGTGAGCACCAGCCGGCGTGGAAATGGCTAAATATCGGCTGCATATAGCTTCTCGGTACACATGATGCTGGATCCTCCCGCCACCTCTTCCCCAGGTCCGTGATGTTATTGGATGTCTTCGCTCTGGTATCGGCCCCGCAGCCCGTTGGTCCACCTCTCTGTGGCATGCCGGATTCGGGATGAGAGCTCTGGTCCCGTAGCCGCCGTTGTGGGCCATGCCCCGGCCATGCTGCTATCGGACGAATAAAAACTGTGCTTGCTGCAGTTCACACTACAGCTTCTCTCGTCTACTTTGCCCTCGTCATCATCTCTAATCTATTACATGATAAACCGCGCCAGTCGCCTGTTATGGACGAAAAGATAGCTCGCCCGCTTGACGTTATCATCGACGGTCATGAGAAGGTTTCAGCTTCAACAACCCCTGAGAGCCCTCTAGAAAGGTGGAACGGAACTCGTACCAATGCTTTCCGCTTCTGCGTGACGCTGTTGAGCTTCACGATCATGGGGATGAATGATGCGGCGATAGGGGTATGTCTCTGCCAAAACTCTCGTCCGCTGCATTATCACCAAGCTTAACGCCATTCAACACAGGCCTTAATCCCATATGTAAGTACGGGGGCATGCCGCAAGACCTCTTGTATGCAGCCTCACTGATCGGGTTACCCAGATAGAAACCTACTACAACGTCACGTACACTGTTGTGGCCTTGCTGTTTCTCTCGCCATTCGTTGGATATGTTATTGCCGCGCTTTCTAACAACCTGATTCACAACCACTTTGGCCAACGTAGTGTCGCCGTGCTAGGCCCCTTGAGTCGCATCGTTGGCTATATACCTTTGGCCTTACACCCGCCGTACCCTGTACTCCCCGTTGTTCTCTTATTCACCGGCCTAGGAAACGGGCTTGAGGATAGCGCTTGGAACGCCTGGGTTGGTAACATGCAAAATGCGAACGAACTCTTGGGCATTATTCATGGCGCTTACGGGGTTGGGGGAACTATAGGCCCGCTCATTGCCTCTGCTATGGTTACCAAAGGGCAGAAATTGCCATGGTACGCCTTTTACTACGTGATGATAGGAGTCACGGTCGTTGAGTTTGCCGTGGCACTGACGGCGTTTTGGGGGGCAACCGGCGATGTTCATCGACAAACTCATCAGCCATCCACGAGCGGCGGGAGAACGACAACCCGGTCAGTCCTGAAGAAACCAATCACTTGGCTTCTTTCTCTTTTCCTGCTTGGTTACGTTGGAGCTGAGGTAAGCCTAGGAGGTTGGATCGTCACGTTTATGCTTCGTGTAAGACAGGCGGAACCCTTCTTGGCTGGCGTTACTGTGGTCCTGTTCTGGTCAGACCTTGCCCCATTTTCTGTTGCTGCTATTCAAATTCCACTGACCGGTTTTCATCTAGGCTTGGACTCACGACCGGTCGGGTGATACTAGGTTTTATCACAGGAAGAATCGGAGAGAAACGTGCTATTGCCATCTACCTTGTACTCTCCGTGGCCCTGGAGTTACTCTACTGGTTGGTGCCTAGCTTTGTAGCTTCCATTATTTTTGTCACCTTCTTAGGCTTCTTTCTCGGGCCGCTGTTCCCCGCCGTCATTGTTGCCGCCACCAAACTCTTGTCCAACGACTACCACGTGAGCGCGATCGGGTTCGCGGCCGCTTTCGGCGGCGGCGGTGCAGCAATATTCCCGTTTGCCATCGGGGCCATTGCCCAAAGCAAGGGAGTTCAAGTACTCCAGCCCATCATTATGGCTATACTCGTCTTCATCCTCGCATTATGGCTCTGCCTTCCTGGAGGTTTCAGGCGTGGCGGGCTTGAGAGGGCGCGAGAGAACAACGAAGGACTTGGGAATGATGTGGTCGGATCTTTCCGCTGGATGACGCAGAAGATTCGCGGACCTCCGTGACAGGTTACCATGGTTTCTGCAATAAACATTCTTTGTGCTACACGTTCGTTGTTGATTGCAGTAGCTCATCTGCAAGGCGTCTTATGTAGAACTCCCGAGCATCTGCTGGCAGCTTGCTGAAGTTATTTGCGATGCGTGAAACATCCTGGCGCCCCTTTTCGTAGGCGGCCAAGTCGCGGTTGCCATAGACGTCTCTCCCTGAAGAGTATCCCTTCTCCAGATTGCGAAAGAATACGTTGACGGCCACGCTCATGTCCGAAGTTGGAGCGGCAGTGTGTAGCCAGAGGGGCGGCAAGAAGAGAATGTCGCCTGGCTCCACGACGGCCTCGTACGGCTGTACGCCGCGCAGTGAGCCCGCACCCAGTGCGGAAAAGACATCCATGCTGGAGCTTGACGCACCGGGGGAAAAGGAGAGGTAATTAACGTCCGAAGGCGGGAACAATATGAGACGTTTCGATCCTCTGACCTGTGCGTACACGTTGGCCATAACCTTTGTCAGAGAGTCAGCCTTATCTTGAGGGATCTTGCGTGCAAAAACCAAAGGAGATAAGAGCTTACATCATAGTGCAACCACATGTTCACCGGGCCAGAGATGCGCAACACGGAACTGAAAGTGTTGTCTTGAACATAGGCGAGTTGGGAGGGGAGTGTGAAGTCCTTTGCCAAGGACGGATAGTCGGTGGCCAATTGTGTAGGAAGATTTGATGGCTCATCCTTCGAAAGTGCTCTCAGGTAAAGCCGCTTCCCTTCTCCAATCTCTTTGATGAATTCGCCGAAATTCTTGGTAACGTAACGAAAGTTCTTGGCGTTGAAATCCATATTTTCGACCGTAGATTCGTGAACTGAGACCTAAGGAGCAGGATATTAGCGATGCCACGAGATCAAACGGCGGGGATGTGGATGACTCGGTGGACGAACCTTACGGTCTGCGCCGACGGTCTTGACGAGATATTCCTGTGACCATTCAGATACGCATGGGCCCAGATTCGCAGACTCAATGATGACCGGTTTCCCCGCATGCAAGATCGTATGGAACTGATCCTTGGACTCAACCTTGATACGAGGGAGACAATGGAGAGAAACCGGCGGCAAAATCTCTGTACTCGCTTCTGTCCCGTCCGCTGTGATTTCGACAGTCTCAGAGTACTCGACTGGCGCAATCTGGGAAGCTAGAAGTGGTAGCTCCCTCTGCCCGGAAACTAGTCGTTGAGTGGCGAAAGCGAAGTTGTAACTTCCTTGCGTCCAGCAGGTTCCCATCGAAAAGCAAGTGGCACCTCCGCCAACGACGGCGAACTCTCCGTCGGCGTGAGGAACAACCGAAGCTCCAATAAAGAAAGGACGAAGGCTGCCAGACTCGCCAAATCCATCAAGGCTCGCAACGATCTCTAGTCCGGCATTGGCCTCTTTGACGATAATCATGTCCAATGCCGCAGGCAACTGGACGTCCTTAATTACGCCACCAAACACAAAGAAGTATCCCCCAGAGTTGATGACTGTTGCGCCAAATCTAGACAACACGCTCGTCTGATTCCTCTGAACCAGTGCATCGACGATCTCAAAAGAGACAACAGGCTGTATTCGCGGGTCAGCTGATAATCAAGGGCATCGGAATGAGCTCTTACCTCGGAATCTGAAGTTTTCAATGTCCATCTGTACGTTCTCTGGTTTACGAGGCCGTCTTCAAGTAGTCCCCCGGCAATTATTCCCTCAGATACTCCCAGCATGCTGCTTGTACACGTGAAGGTTGCGCCGTACAGCGGACGTGGAGAGCCCTGTGTCTTACACCTTGTCCAGCCGTTGTTGGGATTGAAGAGTAGATAATCTGCAGAGGTCTGTGTGTGATTAGGCCGTCCGCCAGCAAGCAATGCCAATGATGAGGTCCCCAAACGAGTCACTGAATGGCGGAATAGGGGGGCCGGAAGGTCTTGTACCCGTTCCCAGGTATTGAATACTTTTCTGTAAAGCCAGCAATCTTTGAAGGCAGTTGACGGAGAAGCACGTCCACCAACGAGGAGTACACCGGCATTTCCTAGATCTGTGAGTGTGTGACAAACCCTCCCGGACGGGCCCTTCTGAGAAGAAGAAGCTGGCGGGCGATCAGCCGAGATTCGGTACAAGTCCACGGAGGTCAACCTTCCATTTGGCCCCTGACCTTGGATGTGTGAGACGACAACCTGACCATTGGGGTTCTCGACGAGCATGGCTGCGCCAAATCGGCGGTGTCCTCGATTAGCTTCATACTTGGACAAGTTCATGGGCGTTTGATAGGATGGAATGGTGGAATCCACGGGCTTTTGAAAGGTATGCCTGCCGTGTTCAGACCCAAAATTCGAGGCAAGGATGACAACATAGTGACTGGCGAAGAGAGCGAACTCCTCCCACTCATCAAAGGGCTCAACAACATCAAGAGCTCGCCTCTCTTCAGAAGTCATGAACAGGTCGTCGGCCCAAGCCTCCCAAAGCGTCCAACTCTCTGCCGCGGACCATCCCAATGTCTCAAAGCGGGCCTGTTGGCTAGCGACGCTTGGGTAGCGATGAACAGACTTGATTGGTGTATTCAACTTATTGAAATGCTTAAGCATCGTACGAGCGAACGGATGATCCGGTCCGTCCGGCAGAATCTGCTCCAGCAAGCAAAACTCGGCTGCATCAGTGATTAGCAACACGAAAGATGGGAGTGTTCAACAGTGCAGTACCATGCTGAAGGGAACCAGCCCAATTAATGACACCATCAGCACCCTCCGTGTCCATGTATGTAATAGACACTTCAGCCACAAAGAGAAATTCAGTTGCAGATAGGTCAAATAGCTTGGATAGAGCATTTTCCAGGGCGGAGAGTTGTCGAAGATCGCAGGCAATTTGGCAGTATTTCTGGCTTTGGAGGACGATGGGGGACTTGTCGTTGACCTCCCAAGTTCCAAGAAGAGCATGCATTTCGGGCGTATCGAGAACAACACGGCGCTTCTTCTGGATGAGGTCTGGATAGTCGACGTCGATGAATGTGACATCTCGGCAGGCGTCCGGGTAGCGCACCTCGCACTGCCACGGTAAGACATCACTGATGAGAGTTTTGTGAGCGCCACCAACATTCGGCATTGGACAAGTCTAGCAACGCAAATCCAGAAGGATCATCAACTTACCTTCCACAACCAAGGTTGACGACTACCTTCTTGCGATACGAAGGCCTCTGGAGAAAACGGCGGACGAGCGTGTCAATGACCTTCAGTCGGAGATGATAACCCCTATTGATAAGAGGAGCTCGTCGCTGGAACTTCTTGACGAAGAACCGAAAGTAATGAGGCTCGTCGGGGTAATAGAGGCGTTCCTGATGAAATGAGTGACTGATGAATAGAGAAGGGAGAAGATACTGGGTTAACTTACAACACTCCGTTTCGAAACTATGGAACTGCTGTTTGTCTGGCAAGTAGCAAACGAAAGACACGTTGATCAGCAAGGGACCGCACAACCGAGGTGAGCTGCAGGCCGGGATGGGACTCAATATTGACTCACTGCCATGATGAGGTCGTCCAGGGCCTGACCCCTGCGGGCATCTTGCACCGAAGGCGCCATGCTGAGTGGCAGTTGGCGGACTTTCTAGTAAGTGGTGAAGAATTGTTGTCGAGTCACAGTTCTGTGTCTTTGCTTTTCCGACACTGGTGTGCATTTTTTTTTTTTTTTTTTTCCCTTTCCCNTTTCCGACACTGGTGTTCATTTTTTTTTTTTTTTTTGTCCCTTTCCACCTCTCCCAAAACGACCCGCGGGAGAGCTCAGCTACGTTGTTTACGGGGTTTCCCCGTCTAGAGCCCTCATTTATTATTCTTCTTGGGCTCAGTGCGCCGTCTTGCAGTTCACGACAACGCCTCATTTGGGTCCCGATGAATAATTGAAAGGCTTCATGAATCTCAAGTTTGTGTATTGATGTGACCCAAGCAAAGCATTTGCCTCCAAATTATTCCAGCTCCTTGACCAGACTGCCCAAGGTTCTGTCGTCGTGTGGAGGGTTTGTGTGTGGCTTCTAGTGCCATCCTGGGACTATCTTATCGTCCACACCTTACCTCAGGTAGGTAGGTACCTTGCCTTACTTACCTAGGTACCTACGGTCAGGCACCTACCATTTACTTACGGGCAGCCCACCTAATAAATAGACCTAGGTACCTACCTTAGAACACTAGACTCACTCCTAACGGTCAGCTGGCCCAAGTACCCGAGCCAAACACAGCCACACACAAACGCACCCCATGTTCAGCGCAAGGTCAGGTAGGCACCTAAGGTAGGTACTACCATTCAGGCGCTGGGACCACCCGGCCGACGGATTACATAGCTTCCCCGCTGCCAGGGTTCCAGTCCACCTTGCCATTGGGGGCCACCCACCACCAGGTTCACGTTCAGTCACCTTACCTTACCTTACCTTACCTTGCCGGTACCGTCCAGACTCGATATCTCACCCTCCACGTCTATCGTCACTTTTCCTCTACCTTAAGGTAAAAGGTGCTCCGCTTCTTGGTGCTGCAGCAAAACCTCGGCTTGTCTCGACAATCACCAGCTCATCGAAGGCTTGACGGTTTGGCCTTGTCCGAACCTTGCCCCGACCGCCGACCACCGTCCACCGACCACCGTCCACCGACCAACACCAAAGCACTCCAGCCTCCTGGCGACTACCCATTTGCGCTGCTGCCTTCGACAGCAAATCCTACTACCTTCCTCAGTCTTCGGTCGAGATACTGCACTTCTATCATCGCCGTGACTGGCGAAATACAAAACTCTTCGGCTCCTCGAACCCTCGTCGTCGACTGAACATCATCTCCGTCTGGTCGTTTCCCACCGCCGGCGCTGTCCCGGCGATAGTGCATCTTCGTTGTCCGACGCATCACGGCGCATACATCCTGCCGAAGGCCCCGGCTTCGGTCGCACACCATGGCGAACGCTTCCCTCAACTTCATTACTTTCAACCAGGACCACAGCTGTCTTGCTGTCGGTAAGGGTTTTCCCGCCACCGCACCCGCGGACCCCATTTGGTCGATAAACATCTTTCACTGACTGGCTGCGTCGCCCACACAGGCACATCTAAAGGTTTCCGCATCTACCACACCGATCCCTTTTCAAAAATCTTCAGCAGCGATGACGGGAATATTGCCATTATCGAGATGCTGTTCTCGACCTCACTGGTTGCGCTGATCCTTTCTCCACGACATTTGATCATACAGAACACCAAGGTTGGTCGTTTTTCGTTACTCTTCTGCCAGAATACTGACTCTGAGAAAGAGGTCTTCAGTCATATGCGAGCTTACCTTTCCCTCCGCCGTTCTTGCCGTACGCCTGAATCGCAAACGTCTCGCAGTCGTGCTTGAGTCTGAAATCTATCTGTACGACATTTCCAACATGAGCCTACTCTATACAATTCCTACTTCGCCGAACCCAGGCGCCATCTGTGCCTTGTCACCATCCTCGGAAAATTGCTACATTGCATATCCGCTGCCAAAGCCCCGCGAGGATAACGGAGACAAGAGACCGGCTCATGCCCCACCCCTCTCGACCTACGTTGCTCCTACATCAGGAGAGGTCCTAGTATTCGATACAATTACCCTCAAAGCTGTTAACGTTATCGAGGCCCATCGATCACCTCTCTGTAGCATTTCGTTGAACAGCGAGGGCACACTGCTTGCCACTGCTAGTGAGACCGGCACCATCATCCGTGTGTTTTCTGTTCCCGGAGGACAGAAGCTGTACCAGTTCCGCCGGGGAACGTACCCATCGACAATCTACAGCATGTCTTTCAATCTCAGCTCGACGTTGCTCTGCGTTTCTTCGACGTCCGATACTGTTCATATATTTCGCCTCGGTGCTCCTCCCCCAGGAAACAACTCGGCTTCGGCTGCCGCAGAAACACCCGGGTCGCCAAGGCAGGATCGATGGTCTCGATCCAGGAGTTACGACAGCAGTAATGAATCACCTGCAGGCAGCGCAGCAGGCTCCCCTAGAAGCGACCTAGTTGAGCCGGTCGGACCTAGCAATGGGGGCGGTGGCAGCCAGCAGCAGATAAATCGGCGGCAAAGTGGCTCATTCAGCAGCATACTCCGACGCTCGTCACAGATAATGGGTCGTAGCGTGGCCGGTGTCGTTGGCTCTTACCTGCCTCAGACAGTGACGGAAATGTGGGAGCCCCTTCGCGACTTTGCCTACATTAAGATCCCGAAGTCTTCGAATTCGCCAACAGCATCGACTCGAGGCGGCGGGCTCACAGGCGGGTCACAGCTTCCCAACGGCCCGCTGAGGAGCGTTGTAGCCATGAGCAGTAGTAGCCCGCAGGTGATGGTTGTGACCAGCGACGGAGGCTTTTACGTTTACAATATCGATATGGAGCACGGCGGTGAGGGCTACCTGGTCAAGCAGTTCTCGTAAGTCTTCGTACCTATTGTTCCCGGGCGAGAGCTAACGAAGCATCACTTGTAGGGTTCTTGACGGCGACGACAAATTGGACTCGTCGGCCTACGGCACGTAGCCTTTTTTTTCGTAGTAGTTCCGCTGTGGGCGACGGGAGTTATCGGGGTCAGGTTTCCACGTGTGCGCTCTGCGCATTGTTGATATCAGAAGAAGACAGCTGCATTCGGAGGCGTTTGGCTACATACTTTCTTCCTAGGGGTGACTAGGAGGCTACAGCACCTTGCATTCTTGATCTAATACGAAGCGTACACTGCTTGCCGCTTGGCCAACACGAGGCCGCTAATTCAAAGAAAAAAAACATTTCTGCGTTTGCACATGGTTGGCCACATGAAAGACTCCGGAAGGGGTGCTGTTGTGAAATCACGATACCCGAAGATGAGCAACCTACGAGCATGATGTGGTCGGTATGCGGTAGAGCACAATAGCGCGAAAGCTTGTTCATGGTATATGTATTATCAGCAGTCGCATCTCTGCTCATCGGGAAGTATGGGTTCTCGATCAGCAGGCTTAGCTGAGTAAATCTTGGCATCATCACTCGTTGCCATCGACCGTGGCTGAACCCTTTTAAACACTCGTCTCGAACGATTGTGCAATAATAAGACTGAGAACACTGGAGATGGCCGAGAAAGTCATGCGCCCTCCGTCACCACAAGACCCCAACGATCGGTCGCCAAAAAAACAAGGTTAGAAAACGCGAAATCAACAACGCCGCCTATTTGGAACAACAGTGCCGCGTGAACCATGACCCGTCGGAGACTACTTTCTCCAACAAATCCTGCCATAGCAAGACAGTTACAGACGCCTGTCTCTGTGCATCCGTCATGCCATTTTAAAAGGAGGGGAAAAGGATGAAAATGAAAGCAAACACCCGGCCAAACACCTCAGAGAACTCCCAAAATTCCTTACCAAGGATAGAAGAACCAAAGAATTGAGTAACATCCAACGATCCACCAGGACACATTATCGAGCGTAAGGTCTGTTCATCAGGGCGATCTCCCTGGCAATCTCTCCCCACTCTAATTCCCGTTTGATCCCAGCAGGTCCGTACTGCTTGACCTGGTTCAGCTCCTCCCACTTAAGGAGCTCGTATGCGAATCGTAGGTGAGGCTGGATGATGACATTGAGTCGGCGGGCTCGGACGAAGCAATACGCCCGGGGAAACGATAGGTTCATGGCCCGCATCACTTCCGCAATACAGATGGTGGCACTGCGGGACACACCAACCCTGCAATGCACCAATGTGGCTGTTCCGCTGCGCCGGCCGTGGTCTAGGAACACAGTTAGAAACTTGTCAACACTTCGAGGCTGGTGACACTCACCAATGAATTCGAGGCACCGCTCGAACTCATCAGTTAACGGATCAATGCCGTTGTCTTGAACGCCCTGAACCACGCATACATTTTCTGGGCCCCATTCCTCCAACTCGCCTTCTCTCCACATTGAAGTCTCACCCACGCTGAGAATCTGGCCAATTCCGAGAGCTCTGAGCAAATCCGGGTTGTTGGCGTGCCCGAGGTTTCCGAGGTACATGTAGTCCAGCACCCGACTGGGCAGAGAACCATCGAGACCAGGCAGCCACGCAGGTTCCTTGATCAGGGCTGTCACCTCGCGTAGTCCCTTTCCAGCGTGAACTGGCGACTCATGGAGTAGACGAGCTTCAATGCACGTCAAAAGAGCCACATCGGTTGGATATGCGAAGAAATTGCGTTGCTTAACTGTGTGCAAGTGTAGCCAGGCATCAGCAATACCTCGTCCAGTGCTGTAGCTGAAATAGGCGATCCCCAGCATCGTAGATTCAGTATATCCGTCGGCACAGTGAATAAGTATCTTCATGGGATGAGAAGCTGCAGGCTCCTCATCTTCCGCTGGTTCGTCCATTCCTACATCTCCGTCAAAGTCAAAGCTGGACTGTTCAGTGGGTGGTAGGGTGCCATGTGCCAAGTGATATATCCATTTGCAGGTTTCTAGAATGCCGTCGGCTTCAACTTGCGACCAAGTCGGTGGCAGAATGCTGCCAGAGGATGGAAAGTCAATGTACGGGCGCACCGCTGGCTTGATCTTGGACTCGGCAAGAGCACGTAGTGTCGACGGGTTCAAACGACCGACATCGCTGCACTCGATCAAAACGTCGTACTTGTACTCTTCTCCAGAAGTGGGATCTGGTGTTGGGCCTAGCCAGACATTGTGGGATATCTCCGAGGCCTTGGTCATTTCGTACATCTCTTTCCTCTCCTGCTGGAAGAAGTCGAGAACATTTCCCGTCAATTCACCCTGGTGATCGATGGCAACGATGTCCTTGTGCTTGGTTTCGAATTCGCTGAAGGGGGAAACGCAGAGAAACGTGTTGTACGCTGGCAGTGGGTGGCCTTGTGCCTCGTGTTTTTGGCGCCACCGTGACTGAGCTGTGGCAATATCCAGTCCGGTCCTCTGCACAGTGGCTTCGTCCTCTCCATAGACGATGATGTCGGACATCATGGCCGACTTGGCTGCCTGGATCTGGAAGTTTCTTACACAGAAACCGTCCCGTGGGTCGATATCTATGAATTCGGGAGAAGCGCCCAAATACATGAACTCTTGAGGGGCGATGGCGCCCTTGAGACGTGCCACGGCAACATCACCGTCGGCTTTGACGAGAGTGACGCCGCGAACACATGTGGGCGTTTTCCTCAGGGAGCGATGACGGGCAATGAAGAAAGCTTGCTGGATATGGTTGTGGGGGTGGAGCCCGTGGAACCAGGGGAAGACTTGATTCGGATCCGGTAACGGCTGGCGGGAGATATAGTCAACGGCAGCAGCGACGTCTGCGGGGCTTATCGTGTACAAGGTCAATGGTGCGAAATCTCGTCTATTGAACTTGTCAGGAGGATAGAGCAGCGATGATTGTTGAGCCTGTTCGTCATCGCGTGGGGGAGAGGGAGGAGGAGTGTTGGGCTCCTCCGCTGGAACTGGCCCCGGGGGGCAGACAGGAAGATGCTTGTTTGGTACGGGGACTTGGGCTGTGCTGATGGACTCGAGCGATATGGACGAGACGGAGCCCACTGCAGATGAAGGGCGATGAGGGGGGATAGGCCTCGGGAGAGCAATTGTGGCCATTTTTCAAAGGCGAATGTTCTATTGCGACGAACTGGAAGTCGCAATCAACGTCAGATGTGTTGAACAGTTGACTCGACGGCGGGGTTGGCAGCTTATCAGCGACAATAGGGGGTGGTCGGGGTTGTGTTGGGGTCGTTGGTCGGTGGTCGGGGCGGGAGTAGTAGGTAGTGAGCTGGTGGTGCAGCTAAGCCACTACGAGGTCGCTCGATAATATCCGTAGACTCAGACGGTTGTCGTCCTAGAGCCTCTGCCTCGTACGACACTTTCTATGGGCTCCAAGGCGAGTTAGATATGGAAGACGATGCCAATTGCGCCTCGTACTGGATGAAAAGCGGCGTGTGTGAGAGAAGGGAGTTTGTCACAGCGTAAACCTGGGGTCGGGGAGAGGTAGTGAATGGTAATGAATAGAGAACGCACTCGAATGGACTGGGTTTGGCGTGTTGGCGTCGGCTCGGGGTGGCGGGCGATCCTTATCGCACATGCCCAAAAGCAATAGCGGTAGCAGCAACGCCAGCTCGGTTCGTGATAGGCGGCGAGGGGTATCTGGCGAGCTGCGGTGATGGGCTGCGTAAGGTAGGAAGGTAGATGAGTTATCTTGCCGCAACGGTGATAACGTCAACGGCAGAAGCGACGCCCGGTGGTGAAGATTTATCGTCGGCAGACGGCAGAGATACTCTGTACAGCTAATAACAACGGCGAGGGACAGCTAATGCAAAGACGACCTCATTAAGACTGGCGGTGGAAAGGGAGTAGAAAGGCGTATGATACGACGGAGAGAGTCAAGAAGCAGCGTTTAGCAGGAGAATGACTCTGCATAGGCCAAGGAGTAGGTCAACGAGGAGAAGATGAGGAGGAGAAGGGAAGGAGCACAACGCACAGTATGGCAGGTGATTGCGATTGCTGAGGTACAACACCGTACCGTACGCAGTACCGTCAATTCGACATGGATGCGCGAGAGACTACCACCACCAAGGACAGGACCAAGACCCAGCCTAAGCCTACCTGTACCTAGTAAGGCAGGGAGGGAGGGAGGGAGAGACAGCCGTGCAGGACAGGACAGGCCAACAGAATGAATGAATGGAATGGGTGGGTGAGGGTTGTACATACCTTCGTTACCTTGGTGAAGTAGTAGGGAGGGGAAGGCCATCGGCCAGAGGAAGAGGGGTCGGGTGGGTGTGGAATCGGAGCAAGCACGGTTACAGCATCTTCTGAGCTACTGCGAACGGTAGCGTCACCAACAGCTCCTGTGGGATGGTTTTCCAGACGCGGCACATGGTGCATGTTAAGCACTTATGTCTCCTGGAGGTACCTTGGCTCTGGAAGGTAAAGTACGGCAGAGCACGCAGCAATGGGGAATGGCATGGCGCGCCACTGGAGACCTGGGGTCGCCCATCTCTAGTGCCGATCTGGTCTGGGCTCCCCCATCACCAACCCTCAGCTGAGAAGCATTGCTTCATGGCTTCCTACAAACAACAGACGACGGCGACAGCGGGAGACTCGGGCGTACAAAACGTACAGTATGTGTAGTCGAGGGGCGGGCACGCGATACGCTGCCTGCTTGGGCACTGCCGAAGCAGCGCTTTCTCTGCTGATAGCTGCTGCTGCCATCATACTACCTACCTAAGTTCCACCATTGCCATTGCCTTTCCGCCTGCCATAAGGTATCCCGTGACCAGGGCGGATGGGCAGCGCCGCACAGCATCGTCTGTCGCGAGATCAGCCAAGATAACGACACCAACACTGGTCGGGACAAGACAGGGAGATGCCGGGGCAAACCTAGACGACCCAAGAGGAAACGGGCGAGTGACGACGGGGAGCAGGCAGGACGGACGCATGGAGACCTACCTACTTAGTGAATCCGTACTGGCTACCTACCTTACCGTACTGGGGTTGCAGTTGGTGTCACAATCCAGGTGGGGACGGGCGTCGGCGCTAGCGCACAGGTACCTGTAGGTGCTGCATCCGCATCCATCCATCCAGTGGTGGCCCCAGTCCTCTCCAAAAAGCGAAGTGCCCGGTGGGGTGATAGACCAATTAACTTACGTACCTACCTACCTTACCTTGAGTTAGGTATGGAGGCAATGAACTGTTTGACTGCTCAAGCCCCGACGTGTTGGGTGAGCGGACAGATGGGCAATTGGCAAAACAAGCACTACTATGCAGTATAGTAGGTAAGAAGGCAGGGAGGTAGATCACGGTGCCAAACGGCTTGAGCACGGTTCAAGCGGGGTTTGGTGGATCGCTCCTTCACAAGGCCATCCATCCCTGCCTGTCTGCCGACCTTGAAACAAGACGAGTGGCAGCAGAGACTCAGCATTTGCACTTGCATCTGCACTTCATAGTACTGCGGTATGTGTCGTCTGCATCTCACTGCGCTGCCATTTTCGAAGCAAGCGTCTACGAGGCCTTTGGGGGCGCAAGTGAACAGTGGTTGGAATGGGAGACGGCAGTTGACAACCACATGGAAGCGTTCCCTTCCCGCTCCACAACCACGCGCCCCATTCCGCCGCGTGCGAATGGCTCCCTACAAATTGCAGCAAGATAACTACTATGCAGTATCTTATGAACTGCATAGTACGTACATTGGCCCTGTTTGCGATGGGTGCAATTGGATTCTTTTCCTCCAGCACGAACCCTTGTCTGCACACGGCACCGCGTCAAGGTCTATCGTTGGCGCACAACATCCGCAACAGTTGCTCCCAGCAGACGCAACTGGGGACATGGCCTAGTTACCGTAAGGATACAAAGCACCTTACGGATACAAAGCAAAGGTAGAAAGAAAGGGTCCGGTCAGGGATCCGGCTCTATGGATCTCGGTTCTTGATATTCCCCGACGACAAGCCCCCCCCAGGGGCAGTGTCCAGACCCGTCCACTCCACGTCAGATCTGCTTCTGTTCCCAACATCTGTCTTTACTTAATAACTTGAGTATCGAGGACGAATCCCATGCACGCGAGCTTACCTTATTTACATGCGCCTTGTATCAATTTTCTAAAAGCTTCTCAAACTCTCAAGCGAGTATCAGCCAACATAGTGCGTGTTGCAGCTATTTCCAGCTTCAAAGATCGCAGGCTAACTATATCTGAGAATCGTGTAACCGAACATACATCCGTTTCCGCAGCCCATGGGCCAGAGAGCGACACGGCGGACTCTTGCGTCTGCGTTGCATGCCCTCCTAGATTAAGTTTTTAGCGGCGGATGCTCTACATCATGCCCACAAACAACCAAGTCCCCACGCCCTCCAGCATCTCAAAGTGTTTGTATTACTTGTCCGCCGAGAGTTGAGAGCGGAAAGCACACTCCCTTCAATTCCACGTCCCGCTGAAAGGCGGGGGCGGGGTAGCGGGTCGCTAATGCGCAAGTGTGTGAGTGTGTACGCACTACAGTCTTGCGGGCAGCTCCAGTACCGTAGTGTGTCTGAGACCCATCCTCAATCCTGTCGCCTCAGCCACCGTTACAGACTTCCATTCCTGCTTTGTGCCTCATGTGGCTGGCCCGCTCTCACACAACTAGCGAACGTGCTGGGTAAGGTAGCAGGCATCTTAGTACATGAGCTCTACTACATACGTCATTGACAATCGCTCGATGACAATCGTAGATTCAGCTGCGCCCATGCACTGACCCAGCGTGCTTCGGTCGCCCTCAAAGTTCTGTTGAATCTGGACCACATCATCTGCCTTACATAAGGCACCCATGTGCAAACGGCGGACCTCCCTTTTGTTAATCCGGCACTTTGGACCATTTGGTCCGCGCTTTATTCGTGCCTGCGCAACTCCCTACTTGGTACCTGATTTAGCGATAAGGCAACAAGCGCATCTCACGCAGAGCTCTGGTCTCGCCCTGCCAACTTGAGACACACTTCGGACCTAATGCTGTCTTGCGCGTACAGCTAATGTAATCCGGTAGGCTTTACATATCAGTCGGTGTTCTTCCGTCTTCTTCGGCAAGCTTAGCCCTCGTTTTCTGTTCCCCGAACCATCCACTTGCTGGCTGTCAACGCAGTGAAGTGTTGCTGGGATCTTCCTTCATCCGCCCGTGTGACTTTGCTAACGCCGATTTGGTTTCACAGACACACTCTACCATCTCCAACTCAAAGAGGTCTTCTCTCGCGACCCCGATCCTGCGATCCCTCTTGACGACTCGCAAAACATGACCAAGTCCATCTCGCTTGTCCGGCTTGCTGAAAGCCGTTCATGATAGAGGCCCGACTCCACAACAAACACTCCTCTCGAAGCCCCCAAATCCGTTCTTACTCACCTGGCTGTTGCGCTTGTTCGTCCGCAGCGATCGACTCCTGCCACCGTCAAACCAAAACACGCAACAGACAGACATTGCTTGCTTGACTGAGGAGAAACCATGATGTCTACCCCGGCACAAGTACACACGTACGGCCCCAAGTGTCGCCTTACTCCCGTGGCGCACCCGACCCCGACCGAGCAGGACAACGGTGTGCCCCCTGTTCCCGCGCAATTCTTCTACTCGTCGGTCATGCCAATAGACGACCCCTTGTCGCCTGGCACGATCGCTGGTGCTTCCGATGCGCGGACTACTCGAGGTCAAATTCGTCCCTTTTCGTTAGGCGACAACAACGCTCTGGAGAAGGCCTGGCTCAGTTTCCTCTCCGAGGATAACGTAAAAGCTCATGAGCATTTAGTACGGAATCGCACCCTGAGTCCTGATGTTGAGCAGGCGAACACAAAAAAGCTAGAGCTTCTGGTTCGGCACCTGGCCGCCAAGCATGGCCGAAAGCATGGGGGGATATTTCAGGCATCCGTAGTCGCAGGCGAAGACTTGGATACACTTCCCGACACTCCAGCTACAGTTTGCTGTCCCGACCTTTTTATTGACGTGTCCACCGAACTGCAAAATACATTTTGTGCCCTTGCGAGAAAACAGCAATCCTCCCTGGGCCAGGACAATGTCGTTCAGGAGGTCATGATGGAATTGCGACGTCAACTTAGTACAAATCCAGCCGCCGATGACTCCCGGTCAACAGCCGGGAGCGTTCCCTCCTCGAGGCCTCGAGCAGATTCGGCGCGCTCAAGACAAATGGGAATTGTGGGCTCTTTCAGCCCCCGCCGTGAAGCCGCCAATGAATTGTCTCGTTCTCAAAAGGACGGGATCACACATGGGGCTGACACCAAAGCGAGACCAAGGTCTGATTCGCGCGCGAGTGAGCAAGCGTCTCGCCCATCGACCCCCGGCACGAGTACCTCATTTCGGCCGTCTGTGGACGATGGGATATCCGGGAAGCCTTTCGTCAGAGCGGGAATAAGGCAAAGACCACCAGACGCCTTTGGTAGTTCATTCCCCCCTATCGAGACTCATAATGCCAATGGAGATGAACGCGAAATGCGAACTCCGCCCAAAGCACAAGAGCCAACGAGGCCGAGGGCAAGTACATTACAAATCGCCACGCTGAGTGACGCGAGCTACAGAAGAGAAGCCATTGACGTTGTCGTTGGCGTATCTAGGCTTCACATGGTATCCATTCCTGCTCTACAGATGAAACCGATTTACTGGTCCCCTGTGAATGACATCGCCGTAGTACTCCGTGCTACATGGTTCTACAGGTTCGTGAATGTTTATCAAGATTCAACTGGTTGTGGGCTGGGTCTGACAGCAATCCTAGAGATACAATGCTTCCAATTCCGCCAGCAGTGGCGAATCAACTAGAAGCTGGATACCGAGAGCTGCAACCGCATACTGAGACCTGGAGCGATGAGCTTCGCTGTGCGATTGAAGTTGGTCCGCTCGGCGAAGAAAAAGTCTCGCATCGTCTCTGGCCGGAGGATGTGGAAAGTATGAGCGATGGCGACAAGCAGACCGTCCCAGACACCCGAATTTTAACGGACCCTTTCTGTGCTGCTAGCTGCTATCGTGGAGAAGCTGCGGCTGAAGGATCCGTCGATCCAACTCCAAAGTCTTCCAGTACGATGCCGCATCGAAGTTACGCCAGCTACCATGTCATCTATAAGGACGCTTCCAGAGCCTTCCTCTTGAAACCCAGTTTAAAACCATCGGCCTACTATGGGAGACGGCCAGTAGCCAAAATTATGAAGGGAATGACTATAGGCATCCCTGTAGTTCGAGGCTTCGATCGGGAGACGTGGGAACGCATCCACGACAAGAAGGGTAGGCGCGACCCAAATTCTCAGTCAGAATCTCCTGCGAGCGACACTTCTGAAAGCGTCGGGCGGGACGTTTTGTGTCCAGCTTGTAAGGCAGAAAAGGAGCAGGGCCAGGTTACCGACCTTGTGATGGTTGTGCATGGCATAGGGCAGAAGTTCGCTGAGCGAGTCGAAAGCTTTCACTTCACGCACGCCATCAACGCATTTCGCCGGGAAGTCAATATGGAACTGTGCAATCCCGTGGTTAAGGGAGTCTTGAGAGACGACCAGAACGGAATCATGGTACTTCCGATAAACTGGCGCCACACTCTGTCATTCGAAGACGGTGGCCCGATGACGGAGGAGGACAAGGCAACCCACGTGCCTGATGGATTCAGTCTCAAGGACATCGAACCTGGTAGCATCCCGGCCGTGAGAAGCATGATCTCTGATGTCATGTTCGACATTCCATTCTACATGTCTCATCACAAGGGCAAGATGATCAAGGCGCTTGTTACGGAGGCTAACCGCGTATACCGGCTGTGGTGTCGCAACAACCCTGGTTTTGCTGAGAAAGGGCGTGTCCATCTGATTGGGCATTCTCTTGGCAGTGCCATGGCGATTGACATCTTGTCCCGACAACCCACACGAGTTCCTAGATTGGACATGTCCATCAAATTGCCAGGAGTTGATTTCTTTGAGTTTGACACCAACAACTTGTTCCTCGTCGGAAGCCCGGCCGGATTCTTCCTGCTTCTCGAGAGAGGCATGCTCCAACCTAGGCGTGGCCGGGTCAAACCTGGCGCTGACCCGAGCGACATACACGCACCGGATGTTACGGGACAAGTTGGCCGGTTCGGGTGCATTGCGGTAGACAACATCTACAACGTGCTGGCTAAGGAGGACCCAATCGCCTACCTACTCAACGGCACAATCGACCCGGTGTATGCCTCAAGTCTCAAGACGGCTCATGTTCCTTCGACCACCAGTTCCATCTTCAAGTACGTTGGCAACGCCATGCGAAGTCTCGTGCCAGGCGCAACCCCGAGCCCCGCAACCATCGAGCCAGCTGCCACGCTCAAGCCTTCCGTCGTTCGTTTGCCGTCACAGCTCGAGTTGGAGGTACACGACTTTACGCGTGAGGAGATTGCAGAGAGAAAGGCGTACTTGTTGAACGACAATGGCCAAATTGATTACTATCTCAGATATGGCGGTGGGCCTCTGGAGATCCAGTACCTCAATATGCTGAGCGCCCATACGTGCTACTGGACGAGCCAGGATTTCATTCGTATGCTGTGCATGGAGGTTGGGAGGAAGCCTGGGAGACAACACACGATTCCCGCCATGAGGGCTCAGAAGGCAACCAAAAGGATCATCGTTAACTAGGCGACTTACGGCGGACGGATGGGCGGATGATATGAAACGAGGTTTACAAGATTCAAACATAGACGCAGAGTCGTGACACAAAGTCATTCTCGCATGATGCGTAGATAGTGCGACAGGATCGTGGATGAAGCACCAGATTTAGGTTTCTATTAGACAAAACACTTAATGTACATGGCCGTTTTCGCTTCTCATCCAGACGCTGACGGGCTCCAGCTTAGGTAACAGCTGGGGTCAATGAGCTGGCTCATCGAGAACCTCAGAATCCATCGTCGATCTCCATCATGTCCTGATCGAGGTCGTCGTCCATGCCGTATTCGTCGCCCTCGTCAGCTCCCAACTGCATGCCATCAACCCCGGCAGCTTCAAGCTGTTGGATCCGTTCCAGGTCCATCTTCTCCTTGTGCTTCATCAAATCCTCGTAGCTCCATGTGCTCACACCCTCCTGGTCCTTAGCCCGGAACGGTTGAGCCATCTGCTTGAGGAAGCGGCGAGCGCTACTAACGGCCATGTCGGTGCTAAGGTTGGTGTCGGCGTCGAGAAGACCTTGGTTGATCCATTTGGGCAGCTGCACTCGCTTCTTTTGGAATCTGCGGTCGGCCAGTACCATGATACCGTAGTCGTCCTTGCCTCTCAAAACACGACCCAGACACTGGGCAGCGTGTCGCATGGCGTCGAACGACAGGAAGTCGTTCTCGCGGATACGGTACGTCTCGCGAAGGAACTCGAGTCTCGCCTTGAGGATTCGGGACTCAGTGTACTGGAATGGCACGCCGATGCACAACACAGTACGGCCGTACTGGTGGTCGAAATCGATACCCTCAGAGACCTTGCCTCGAGCGACACACAGGAGAACGGCGCCGCGACCGTTGCAGCACGCCGTTCGGTACGTTTCCAGCGCCAGCGAGGTTTCCTGCGCATCGGGTGTCTCGACGAGGATGAGTTTGTACTTCCAGACCTCTTCGAGGATGTTCATTCCCTGCCACATGCTGATGATGGACTCCATGTAGAGATAGGAGGGGAAGAAAACCACCATGCCATCTGGGGTGATTTTGGCAAACTCGGTCAGCAGCGTGCCGTAGTTTCGCACCACGCTAGGCTCGTTCCTGACCTGGAAACTCGTGGAAACACTCGCTTGGTCGCTTCCACGTGTCACAATCATGGGCAAGAATGACCTTCGAGCCAACGTCATGCTATATGACTCCTGTACCACGGTCGAGAAGCCAAGCATCTTCGGGTACATCTCGAGAGGGGAGATCGTTCCTGAAGTGATGATGACAGAACTGAACCTGTCAAAAACGGGTCGGATTGCGATTGCGGCGTCCAAACAAGTGAAGTGCAGGACAGGGTTTGGCACCTCTGCTGTCTCCGACTCGAATGGTTCTAGGATCAGGAGAAACCCCTTCTCGTATGTTGCTACCAGCGTCGCGAAGGTAGCTACCTCTTGCAAAGGCTGGTAGTCTTCAATATTCGTGAGCTCGAGAGTCCTCACCAAGGACGTCAATCGTTCGGCACAGAATCGCAGAGGCTTCTTCTCAATGAAGGTGTACTCCCTCAAATGAGCAAGGAAAGACGGAGGCGTCTCTGAAATGGTGTGTCTGACCTTCATCCGTGTCTGGTACGTCGTTAACATCCGGCTTTCTGTTTCTGTCAGAGTTGCTCACCTTGAGATACTCGATGAACCTCTTCAGAAAAGACACGAAATGTTCAGCTCTTCTGATATTGCCTGGTACCGCCTCCTTCAGCAAGTCGTCTGGCAAGGCTGCTGATTGTCAGTGAACGATGAGGAGGCGAGAAGTCAGGGCATCGTATACCTGGGTTGGCCATGAATGCGTCCTCCTGTCGCGCTTCGTCGGCATCCCGCAATCCTTCCACAAGCTTCTGGTACTCATTCTGCAACTGCTCCTGGTCGGTGTCTCTCATCTCCGAGATCTTCTTCTCCAAGTTCTGTGCGCCCCTTGTTGCTTTTCGTAGAGAGTCCTCGGTGATATCTGTGCTTAGGGACTCGATGCAGACGTTGTCAATATTGTGGGCTTCGTCGAAGACGACGATGCAGTCTTTTGAGAGCTCTTTCGATACTCTCTCTGCGATCTTGGGATCAAGTAGATAATGGTAAGAGTAAATGATGACGTTGCAAAATTGCATCTGTTCGTGCTCAGCACAAGAAACAACAAAGTGATCTCTCAATCCTTACCATGCGTCTTGCAGTGAAATATGGGCACTGCTTGTGCTGTTCGCCGTATCTAAGAAGGCCCTCAAAGGTCCAAACTCCATTTGGAATGAGGTTGTGCGGCTCGAGGAGATCCAGGTTCTATGCCGAATCTTTAGCCAAATGAGAAGCCACGACTGAAGCAACACCCACATCATGGTAAACGCATAGGTCGACATTCTCGCCTCGATCCTTTTTCTCCTTGACAAATCCAGCCGTAAGGCTTCGGCAACGAGCGTCGACGATGGCACCGCTCTTTTCCTGCTTGACTGACGGATGAAGACACAGGTTCTTTCGACTTGTCAGCCCGAGGCCTCTGAACTCTTCCTCTTCTCCAAGCTCTTGAGCGCGGTACTTCATGAGAGCTTTTAACTCTGCGAGGGCCTTTTCGATCTCAGACATGGTACCTGATATGTTTAGATATAGTCAAAGCTTCTGGAGGATTCAGACGTACGTGAGCAGTAGATGAGCTTGCGATGCTCTGGGTTATGTTGTTGATAGGCCACAATAAGTGAGAGCAGCGATACCGTCTTTCCTGTTCCTGAAGGCATCTCTAGGACGCAGTGGCCACCCGCGTCCAGAGTCTCTAGTGGATGAATCAACTCGTCAGTAAGAAGTATGATATTCGAGGGGCAATGTCTAGCGAACACACTCTTGAGGTCGCACATGTAGCTAAACGCCAACGAAGTCAGCACTCATCGGGCTCAGGTTGCGGAGCGTGGTGACTTACGCATACTGCTCAGGGTAGATCCTAGGGTATGGGAAAAGAATTGGCAGATCACTGGGAATGTGATGTTAGTTGTGTGTTTTGAGGTCCGTGGAAGGTCGACCAAGGCTTACTCGATGAAGAACTTCATTGTGAAGGCGATAAGGGGGCCAAAGCCCGCCGATCAGCTACACTTTGATGAGCTCTGTCTGAGACTTGGAAAATTGGAAGGGACGGTTGTCAAAGATGAGGGAAGGATATGGGTGACGATGTGACACTCGGCGGGTGTGGAAGTTGCGGTGGAGTTTGGTGGTTGGTCGAGGTTGAGCGAAAGGCCCACCACGATAGAGGCAAGAAAAGCAGAAATTTTGGCAGGTTTGCTGTATTCAAGCAATCGAATAGTGCATGCAGCTAGGTGAATCAGTGCCAGCTATTCTGGCCAGTCTTCTGCATGTCACGATCCGCGATAATGGAAAAATGTGATGCGCGTTGCTGTGCTGTGCCTGAAAATCGGTGACGTGAGACAGCTCTTGCCTTTGAACAGGCAGGGGGAGCTGTGGAGCCAAAGCGTCGCGGTTTCACGTGACCTTCGGTGGCCATCACCTTCACCTGTGCGATTGTCGGTGTGAAACACGCTGACCTCGGTGAGAAGAGACCCAACTATTGATAGCTGATCTTGGAGCCATCCAACTTAATGATCTAGCAAGTTGCAGATGACCTCCGTCTGCCAACCCAAGGCACCAATATACACGCACATGCAACGGGGGCCGTCGGGCCCGTTGGAAGCAACACACGGAAACCTTGCCAGCCATATCTTTTCTTCGCCTTGCGAGCCCCTAAATGTTCCAGACAATCTGAAGTCCACGACCTTACATATCTCCCAGTCTTCAGGTAAGATTGGTGACGAGCGAGGTATGCTTACCGTATATACGGACGACAAATGGAGGCATAAGATGAGAGAGGCCGAGGCCAAAAGTGAGCCAGTCAAGGGTTATTCGAAGATCAGGAAGATCAAGTGCTCCGTCATTGCCTTTGGTATGTCCTGGCCATCGACACTCTTGAATCTCGTCGCATCACGCGCCTACCGGGCCTCGTTCACTGATTTCACAGCATTCACAGCCCGCGAGGCAGTCTCTCGACTGAGGTCATTTTCAGATGCTACGCTCTACCTTGACGACTCGCCTACGACAGCCAATAAGTCGACGAGTTGGTGGCGCCTACAAGGACTGCGCGGGATTGATCCGCCGACTAGCGATTGGGGGCCGGGTCTAAGGGCGGCCGCCGCGGGGAAAGCATAGGAACTGCTACATAGTAAGTAGACTCACTGTGCTGGGATGGCCGTCTCGCAAATGGATGCTGTACACGCCTGTGACCGAGTAATCCTTCGCGGTAGTCAGCACTTAATCAGATGGTCTGGCTTGGAAAATCCCGGTGTGACTGATGCGAGCGCATCTATGGCACATGTATCCGCACAAGTACACAGGCGGGACCGTCCCATCCCATCGCAGCTACCTTGACGTAGAAACCAAGAAAGTAAAGAAGCAGGCCATGGGACGAGCGGGACCGCCTGCCTGCCCGAGAAACGGTTGAACACCGACTGACCGACGGGCTCCAGACACATGGTTTGCGAGTTCGGATAGAGAGTGAGAGGTACACTACGGAGTAGTAGTGTACCATAGTACACATGCACCACCAACGGGGAATGAGCAAAAAAGCACAGTACTTTTTTACTTTGCCAAAGTCCCCATTTCCAGCCCACCATGGCGCAGGTTACGCCCGACTGCGGTCTCGCTTCAGAGATACCCCTGCTCCGGCTCCTAGGGAAGCCGACCGAATACAGGGATGTTCTCGTAGTCTTCTACACCTGCTCTGCAGTAGTGTATTTCTTCGTGGGCGTACAGACGCCGGTGGCTGGTTGGGGGTGGGAGATCGCAGGGTCTCGTAGGGCCAGTTTTATTTGGATTCTAGTGCGTCTAGCGCTTGACGGATACGCTCACTCAACCAGATGGAAGCAAGACAAGGCGTAGGGAGCAGAGGAAACGAGCCGGTGGGCACGGGCAGGGCCGCGATAAATGCCCTCGCCACAGA